TTGTTTGTTTCACCTCTGGCAGGTGAGGAGCTGGCTGGGCCCCGGGAGCCCTGGCCCTGCTCCTGCGGGAGCTGAGAGCCCAGGCAGTGGGGTGGGGTCTGCCCTGGGGCTGGCGAGGCCCACAGAATCTTCGTGGGCCCAGTCCTTGTCCAGAGCAGGCCCGGGGGCTGGGGGAAGCCGGCGTGGCTGCGGCATCCCCTTCCCTCTCTTCCCGGCTGGGAGTCGGGGCACCTCTGACCTCCTTCCCTACCCCCACCAGCTGCCCAGGAGGCCCGCAACAAGTTTGAAGAGGCCGAGCGGTCCCTGAAGGACGTGGAGGAGTCCATCAGGTATGGGTGGCTGTGTGGCCACGGTGCCGTCTGCACCGGCCCCACAGCTGCCTGCTGCTGGGCTCCCCAGGGGAGGTGGTGATGGGGAGTCGCCCGGGCGACCTCGGGCAAGGTGGCAGTGGCTCCTGCAGGGAGGGTCCCCAGGTGATGGGGAGCAGAGCCCAGCCCCCAAGAGGCCCTCTGCCACCGGAGCGGGCCTTCCTGTGCTGTCCTGAGTCGGCCTGCGGCGGCCCCAGCTGCCGCTTAAGCTCCCGGCCTCCCCTTTTAGGAACCTGGAGCAGGAGATTTCCTTTGATTTTGGTCCCAACGGCGAGTTTGCCTACCTGTACAGCCAGTGCTACGAGCTCACCACCAATGAGTGCGTCCCCCACGGACAGGCGGGGTGGGTGGGCTGGGAGGTCCTGGGCCTGAGCAAGGATGGGGTGAGTGAGGAGCGGGGCTTAGGAGCAGTCACTGGAGTTTGAGGTACTTGTGTGCCCCTTGCAGGGGGGGGATGTCATGTAGGTTGGGGCCCAGGTCTCCCCTACCCACGCACCCCATCCCGTGATAGGTACGTCTACCGGCTCTGCCCCTTCAAGCTCGTCTCGCAGAAACCCAAACTCGGTGGCTCCCCCACCAGCCTCGGGTGAGTGGGCTCAGGCTGGGCCCCCCTCTCAGCCCCTGGTCCCCCCGGCCGCCCGGCCAGCCCCGCTCAGCACCCCACTCTCCCGCAGCACCTGGGGCTCGTGGGCTGGCCCCGACCACGACAAGTTCAGCGCCATGAAGTATGAGCAGGGCACAGGCTGCTGGCAGGGTCCCAACCGCTCCACTACTGTGAGTGCCCGGTGGGTTGGGCCGGTACGGGGGACCCAGGCCCACCGAGCCTGCCTGAGCCCCGCCTGCCTGCCACCCGCCCCAGGTGCGCCTGCTGTGTGGGAAGGAGACAGTGGTGACTAGCACCACGGAGCCCAGCCGCTGCGAGTACCTCATGGAGCTGATGACACCGGCCGCCTGCCCAGAACCACCACCGGAACCGCCTGCCTCAGGCAACCACGATGAGCTCTAGCCCTGCCCTGCCCCACCCGGCCCGGCCCAGAGGTGGGTGGGGAGGTGAGACCCCTACCGCCTCGGCTGGGGGATGCAGGGGGTGGTCTAGGTCGCATTGATGCTCCCCCCACCCATCTCCATCTGTGTCTCATTTGGTTTCTCTGCGGCCCCAGAACCTCAAGACGTGGAACCAGCCCCCAGCGGTGCTGCCCGCCTGCCCCTCAGTCTGTAGACTAAGGCTTGCCCCTCTGGGTCTCCTTGCCCTCCCCAGCGGGCAGGAACTGGGTGGGGCTCCATGCCCTGCTCTGGGGGCAGGCGGGGCAGAGCCACGGTCCCGGCCCCAGGTGCCTCTACAGGTGGAATAAAGGAGGCTGCCCTCCCTGGACCCCCGCCCTGGTGCCCCCCCCCACCCAACCCTGTCCCCCACCCAGGGCATCTGCCTCCCCTCCTGGCGCGGAAGAGTGACTTGACCTGTGACCTCCAAACAATAAACGTGATCTCCCCAACTCATCTGTCTGTCTTTGCTCGGGTGTGGAATCAGCCAGGGGTGCGAGAGGGCTAAGTGCAAGGGGAAGCAGCTCTGCAGATTCTGTGCGGGCCTCCTTCCCCATCAGGCTGGCACCACAGTTGGGGGTCTCACCTGAGATGCCCCGTGGACAGCACAGCCTGGCGCCACTGGACAGACGGCCCCTGGGCCACTTCTGTCTGGGTTTCCACCTGGACTTGTCTCCCACCTGCTAATCACAAGAGTGCTGTGGGAAGGCCGAGAGGCTCCAGATGAGATTCAGGCCCAGAGAGGGACAGCAGCTTGCACTCAGCCACACAGCGGGGCTGTTGACACGTGTTCCAACACTCCCCGCACGCCGTTGTACACATATCTGAGGCCATAAGATTCTGAACTTTTATTTTCTGGCATGAAAAGTACAAATAATTAAACAATTCCATGTAAAAGTCTGTTACCGCGGCCAGGCCTGTAATCCCGGTAATAAATAGTGTCTAAACTCAACGCAAAGTGTTCTTGTTGTTGGGTTTTGGGTTTGGTTTTTTTTTTTTGTTTTTTTTTTTTTTTTTAAACAGTTCTTTATCACCTCCAACATGGACTCTGTCTTGATTTGAAACCATCCAAATAAATAACAGGATGAAGGGAGGGCTGGAGGGGCTGAGCCCCTTCCCCATGGGCCCTGCCCCTGCCTCCCAGGGATGTGGAAGACCCCAGGCCCCCTCCCCTGGGGTGAGGGGCTGGCCTCCAGGAAGGGGGCCTGGCTGGCTGGGCTGAGTTCTGTGTTTTAGAAAAAGGAGTCCCCTCCCAGTCTTGGGGGTGGCAGGGGCTCAGGCCTCTGTGAGGGGGTATGGGGAGGTGCCCCCTCTCCAGAGCCCGGCCCCCCCCCAGGGTGAGGGACAAACCCAGCCCTTATTGCTCACAGATGCCTCCGCCACGCTGCCCACGTGTGGACACGTGTCACCGCACGGAGTGCAGAGGGGAGAAAGCCCCAAGAAAACAGAGGGAGAGGGATGGACCCGCTGCGGGGCCTGCCCTGCTGGAGGGGAGCGGGGAGGTTGGGGAGGACTTAAAAACCACAAGAATAAATAGGTTTGTGTATCAAGAACAAGCTAGGGTTTCACCAGCTAAATAGGACTGAAAAAATTCTCAAGACGAGCAAAAATAATCCCATTAAGACCCCGGACGTCGCTGGCCGTGGGGACCGCCCTGCAGAGCACAGGTCCCCCAGGGCGCCGCTCGGCTACCATTACTGTTATTAATAATTATTATTACTTTAATGATTCCACTTCCCCTTTTATAAATAAATTAGGCATAACCACGTCTCGGCAAAACTTAAAGAAACAAAGAGAACATCGTGGTTCCTTTAAACTTGCAAACTGGATGAAGGAACAGAAATATACACAAATGTCCTTACAGGGCAACAAGGAGGATAAATAGTTAACATAGCAATAAGTTAAAACTACAAGAAGCTCAATTCGGCAAAAAAGTACAAGAAAGTTAACTGGTGCCAGTTTATGTCTGTTTTGTTTTTTTTTTTTTCCTTTTTTTTTTTTTTAAATCTCTTCTGTGTGTGTGGTTTTGTTTTGTTTTGTTTTCTCTTCCTTTTTTTTGTCGCTTTTTTCTCTTCTGTTTGTGTTTTTTTGTCGCTTTTTTGATTTTTTTTTTTTTCTTTTTGTTCCTTGCAGCAGAAGCTCCACAGACGTTTAATAACAACACCGGGAGGGGTGGGGGAGAGAGAGCTGGGCAGTCAGATGGGGCCATGGCCAGACACCAAATGCAGGGACACCACAGAAAGGGCACTGAGGCTAAAATCGGGGTTTGCCATTCTCAGTTCTGACTGGGCCCTCTGCGGGGGTTGGGGGCTTCAAGGGCTCCCAGGGGGCTCCGGCTTTTGGCTTCTATTGGATTTTTGTTTGTTTGTTTTTTACAAAGAGTGAAAACTAGGGGGATGGAAAGTCCAGACAGAAGCCAAGGCCGGGGCTCGGGATAGGGGCTGCGTCCACTGCCCTCACTGATCTGGAAAGACGGAAAAACCCAACAAACTGAAAGGGGGTGACAAGTGGACGGAAAGGGAATGCGGGGCTGGGCCCCTGGGCCCATCCACCCTGGGCCTGGAGGGGAGTGTCGGGGCACTTGCTGCTGAGGAGGCTCTGGAGTGGAGAGGCTCAGGGCCTGGCCTCCCCCTCGGCCTCGTGGGCCAGGGCCTCGGCCCAGGGAGGCTCAGCCCCAGGGATGGGGGTCCTTTGGCCTCAAGCGTTGGGTGGGCTGCCTCCAGCCCACCATGATGCCAAAAGGACAACGAGGTATCGTGTGTCTGGATGCATGGACGCTGTGTGTTCACGCCTGTGTTCGTGGGCGGCAGGGACCATTGAGGAGCCAGGAGAGAGCTCTGCAGAGAACCTGGGGCAGGGGCGAGTGGGGCTGAGTGCCAGGAGGAGGGGTGGGCCAGCCTCGCTGGAGGAAGTGGGCTATGGACTGGGCTGGGGTCTGGGCTGTGACCTCTCGCCTGGGCCTGAGGGATGCTGTGGGCATGTCTGTGTGTCTCTGGGTATTGTGACTATGTTTCTCCATGACTGGGTGTCTAGATTTGTGTGTCCAAATGTAACTGTCTCCACTTCCATGTGGCCACAGGCACGTGTGGAAATGTTCCCATGTCCACGTGTGCACGTGTCCACATTTGTCCCCGGCCACATTCACCAGTGTCCACATCTGCCCGTGGCCGCATCTGCCCACGTCCACCATGGCCACATTTACACAGCCCCATACTTCAGTCTTCTGTTGTTTATACGTGTGTTTGTCTACGTGTCTGAATTGGGCCAGGGAGTTCCTGAGGCGTGTCTCTGGGTCCGTCTGTGCTGCTGTGTATCCCTGTGGGGTGTGTGTGTGTGTGTCCCTGTGTGTCTTCGCGTGGCTGTGTTTCTCTGTGTGGCCCCATGGACCCTCAGCTCCTAAGCCCTGCTCCCTGTGTCCCTGCCCCAGTTGGTAAACATAACCTGCCAAAATATTTTCTTTTTTTTTTTTTGTCTTTTTTTGTGTTTTTTTTTTTTTCAAGTTCAAGAATCCCCAGTAAAAATTCTCCACGAGGTCTTTTTTCCCTTTTTACAAAAATAGAGTTTTTCTTCCCCTCCCACCCCCCCTTTTTTTCATTGTGTTTCTGTTTCCAGCCCCTCCCCCTGCCCCTCACATTCCACCAAGGGGCTCTGGGCCAGGGATGCCCACACCCCTCTCAAGTTTCGCTTTTTTGGGGATTTTTAAACCTGCTCCCCCCTCTCAGGCTCACCTAGGTGTTGGGGAGGCCTGGGCAAGGGGGCCTGGGAGGGCACCCCCAGCACCCCTCCCCCAAGCCATCCACGGAGGGCGGTTGAGGGTGTGCTGGGGGCACGTCTCTGCTTTCACTTTAGCCGAAAAAGGAAACAAAAACCTTCACCATGAACAAAACCAAGACGAGAGAGTGAACAGCCCAGCCTGGGGGGGAGGGGCAGGAGGACGGGGTGGGGGACCCCCAGGAGCCCTCCCATTCCCTGCAGACCCTCCCACCGAGTGCTCACCCTGTGGCTTCTGCAGGGACACGGGGCCCTCGTGCCGTCCGTGGTCTGCCTGCGCTGTCTCTCTCGGGCCCCTGTCTCTCTCTCTCTCTCAATCTCTCTCTCTTTCTCTCTCTCTCTCTCTGTCTCTGCTGCCCGGGAAGGGTGGGGAGGGCGGCGGTGGCTCAGGCCTTGTGCTGTTTGCTGGTCTTGAAGGACACCTGCAGCACGCGCTCGCCCAGGCGGTAGCCGTTGAGGCTGGCGATGGCCATGGCCGCCTCGTCATAGTTGGTCATGGTGACGAAGCCGAAGCCCTTGCACTTGTTGGTGGTAAAGTCGCGGATGACCTTGACATTGGTGACTGCCCCGAAGGGCCCGAACAGCTGCCACAGCACACTCTCATCCGCCTCCGGAGACAGGTTGTACACGAAGATGCACCAGCCAGCGCCCGCCGCGCCCCCCGACAGGCCCACGCCCGCGAGGCCGCTCATGCCGTCGATGGCGATGGGTGAGAACCTGGCGATGAGCGACAGGGGACTACTTTGGGGGTCACGCGGGCTCTGCCCTTACCCCCGGCATGCCCCCTGACCCTGTCATGACCCCTGACCATGCGGAGACCTCGGGACTATGTGACCCCTGCCTTGGCCCCGTGACCTCCATCTGTGACCCCGCCTTAAGCCCCAGACTCTGAGCCACTCTGATACACCAGCCCCCGATCTCCATCCTACCTGGAGCCCTGTCCTGACCTCTGACCCTCCCTAAACGTTAGGTCCTCACCTGCGATCTTGCCCTGAGCCCCTATCCACCCCGACACTCCCTGACCTTGGACCCTACCTGGTCCTCAGCCCTCTTGACACTGACCCCCTCCCCACAACTGGCCACCACCCTTCCCTTGACGCCTCTTCCCACCCAACTCCTGCCCTCACCCCTACTCGGGCACCACCCTGATCCCGCCCTTGGCGATGCTGCCCCTTTTGCCCCACTGGCCATCCTGCCAGGTGGAGGCCCACCCGGAAGGGCAGCGCTGGAACCAGGGTGCGAGCGAGGCCTTTAAGCGCCCCCTCTCGTTATTCAGGTCTCAGCTCAGCTGTCACTTCCCCGGGGTGGCCTCCTTTGACTCATATAGTGGCCACCTCCTCCCTCTGGCCCTCTCTGGCCTTTTCCTATGTATGTATGTATGTATGTATGTATTTTTTGGCCTCACCACGCGGCATGTGGGATCTTAATTCCCTGACCAGGGATCGAACCTGTGCCCCCTGTAGTGGAAGCTCAGAGCCCTAACCATTGGACCACCCGGGAAGTCCCCAGGCCCTTTTCTATTTAAATCATGTATTTATCCTTAGCTCCATCTTCCCTGCAAGGTTCTATTCCCTCGGTGTCCCGGCCCAGAACGGCTCCCAGCACCAGCAGGCCCTCGGGGGGTGGGGGTGGGGTCTGTGGAGTGAACGAATGAGTGAAGGGGCATTGGCTCCCTGCCTTCCCGAGCCATTCCTTTGGTCACTGGGCTCACTCCCTCCTCCTGGCCTTTGCACAAGCCGCTCTTGCCGCCAGGAACTCCAGTTCTGCTCTGGCCCTGTCTCCTGAGCGATGTCTCCACTGGATCCTTATCACCCCGTCTCCTGCCCCCTTCACAGCCCAGATCACCGTTCATCTGTCTCCTTCCCCAGTGGACTGAAATAAGTAATAACAGTAACCATAATCATAAGAGACACTGCCTTTTAAACTGAGTGAGCCTGCACTCCATGCCAAGCACCGTGCTCAGTACCATTCCAGCTCCACCAGGGGCCAAGTCTGGCCAGGCCACGCTGGGTCCCCAGCTCAGAGCCAAGCTCCTGGCCCTCAGCATGTGCTCAATAGCTCTTGATGCTATAAACATGGGGACCTTCAGAGGATCAGGGATGTGGACAATGGAGTGGGTGGGGGGCCTCAAGGTCCACCCCCAGCTATGAGGCAGAAGGGGGCATTCTGTGACCCTCAGCATAGATGATCAACAGTGGCCAGTGGGGGCACAGCTGTGACCCGGGCAACACTGCCTGCCTTTCAATGGGGTGGAGGAGGCCACAGACAGGCCCCCCAGATCCAGATTCTGTAGTAGCAATTTCTAGGCATTTAGTAGGCTCAAGGACCCCCAGATCTCTTAATGGCCACACTATGCCCAGACAGGGGTGGTCCTCGGGGATGAGGTGGGGGATGGGGGCCATAAGGGCAAAAGGGTCCAAGGAGGGACGGCGAGGGGCTGGGGGCAGTGGGGCGGGGGCACTGTTACCTCTTGACTCCGTAGGCCATGTTGAGCAAATTGTCCAGCCTGTGGAGGCAGAAGGGGTGGTCACTGGTGGCTTCTGGGCACACCCCCGGCTGTGACACCGGGCAGCCAGCCTGCCCTCCCCGCCCCCACCCAGCCATCCAGCAGTGCCAGCCCTGCCCCCGCCTGCCTGCTCCCCGCCAGGCTGGACACCGCCTGGCACGGAACCGTGGTCACTCGGGCACCGCCTCTTGCCTGCCCTGCTGCTGCCCAGCCTGCACTGGCGTCCTCGTCCTCCCCCTCCCGGCCGCCCAGCCCTGCTCGCCTGCCCCCCACCCCCCAATCCGTCCGGGGCTTGGGTCCCGAGAAGGGAAGTCTCTTCTCCAAAGTGCCTGGGCCAGGCAAGTGACAACGCCTCTCTGAGCCTCAGGGTGCCCGTCCGTAAAATGAGGACAAGTTCTGTCCTCACGGGGTCGCTACGCAGAAAAAGTAAGGGTGCCTGGCCAGCAGGGAGCTGAAGCCACGTGCCCTTGGCGGGGTGGGGGAGGGGGTGGGTTGGCAGTCAGAGCTGGGCCTGGTCAGGTGATTCTAAAACTACTGACGCCAATAATGCCACCCTTAGTGGCCTGCACACATTGAGCGCCTGCTGTATACAAGGGTCTGGCCTCAGCACCTGACAGACCCCCACGTTTCCCCTTTTGCCCTGGTTTCTCTCCGCCCTGCAGGAATGGGGTTCGGCGAGGGCACCTGCAAGCCTAGGGCATCCGGCCCTGGGGGTCTGGGACGTCTGGGGGGCAGGGAGCGGCAGGGGGCTCACCGGAAGCGCTGTGTCTGATGGTGCAGGGGGCCTGCGTAGCGCCTGGCGGAGGACTGGTAGAGGTGAGTGAGCAGGGCCTGCCCGGTCTTCTGACTCGGGTTGTTGGCAAACTTGACCGTGATGGGCTCGGCCGCACCTAGCGGCTTCTGCCCGTTCAGTCCTTTGATAGCCTCCTCGGCCTCAATCCTCTTGTCAAAGCGGATGAATCCCACACCCCGAGAGACACCTGCCGGGGCGCGAGGGCGTCATGGGTCCCGCCCCCTCCTGGGGACCCGCCCCCTCCTGCGTGACCCCGCCCCCCTCCTCGCTGCTATTTCCGGTTTCTCCACTCTGGTCCCACCTGGGTGCCTTAGCCCAGTGCCCCCCACCCTCCCACCCCCCCCTCCCACCCCCCCGCCAGGTGCACTCTCCCCGGCAGCCTGACCTGTGACCTGGTCCACCAGGATGCGAGAAGTGATGATGCGGCCGTACTGGGAGAAGAGCTGCTCCATCTCTTTCTGGCTCATGGTCTTAGGGAGCCCGCTGACGTACAGGTTCGCATCCCGGATGGAGGCGGAGCTGGGTCTGGCATAGGACACCTGGGGGAGGGTGTCAGGCGGACAGGGGTGAGGGCAAGACCCATTTCAAATGGGGAGGGAGAGGCCACATTCAAACCGCCACTGAGCAACAGAAATCCCTCATCCGTTTATTCAACAAATACCGCAAGTAGTCACCATGGGTGGTGGGTGGGGTCAACCAGGGCTTGGGGGAGGGGATGTGGCTGTGACCAAGACAGCGTGGCCCTGCCCGCGTAGAGCGGTGAGAGGGACCTGTCATCCGAGGAGGTCAAAGGAGCTGCGCCCTTGGGGTCACATGTCTCCCTGGGGGCCTCAGGGACCCTCACATCTCTAGCTCATGTTCTCAGGCTGGATATTCCATCAACATTGACACGTCCCACTCCCTTGGAAAGTGAACCTGGGATGCTGGCTGGCCCCTTCTCTTCCCGACTACAGTGGGCCCCTCAGATCTTTAGCGCCCAGCTCAACCCCGACGACTCCCAAATGTCCGAGCCCAGCATGCGCCTGGCCCCTGAGCTGCACACCTGCGTGACACCTGCCTTCAGGTACCCCACGAGGAGGCCTCATGGGGGATCACACTCAGCACCCCTGACTTGCCCTAACTCAGTAATGACAGTTCTGTCCTGGCTGCTCAGGTCCCGAGCCTCGGGTTGTCCTCAATGCCTGTCTGTCACACCCGCATCCAACCACCATCCATCCTGTCAGCTCCACCTTCCTCATTATCTGGATAGAATTCACACACTTCTCCCCATTTCCACTGCCCTACCATTGCTCACCCTGACCAGTGCAGCAGTCTCTGCCCTGGTTCCCTGCTCCACCCTCGCCCCCACACAGGCTGTTCCCCCCACAGCAGCCAGGGGGCACCTGTGAGCATCTCAGCCAGGTCACATCCCTCCTCTGTTTAGAACCCTCCGTGGCTCCCACCTTCCTGAGTTAAAGTGCTTCTCAGGGCCACCAGGCCCTTCACGACCTGCCCCATCACCCCCCTACCCTCATCTTTGCCCACTGTCCCCCTCCACATCTCTATTCCAGGCACATGGGCCTCTTCCACATTCCCCAAACACAATAGGTGTGCTTCACCCTCAGGGCCTTTGCACTTGCTGTCCGCTGTGCTTGCAACTCTCTTCCTTATTTTTCTTCTCCAGGTCTCAGTTGAAATATCCTTCCCGTCCTTTCCCATCTGAATTTGGTCCTCCACCCTTATCCCTGTTACTCTCTGTCAAAGCCCTTCTCTCAGCTGTGAAGTAGACACGTTTTAGTATGATCCTTCCATTCATGTCATTAATTATGGTCCAGCCCAACAATGAAACTCTCTGCAGCTGTTTAAAAAATGGTGGACGTGTATATTTATTTCCCCGAAACAGTGGTAAGTATTGTAAAGTGGGGGAAAGAAAAGTCCATTTACAGAGCAGCGAGTATTGTGTGACCCCATCTCATTGTGTGTTTATCAATGTCCTGGAAACATGGTCTGGAGGGCCCACCCCTAAACGCTAGCAGGGTGACCTAGAGCTGGTGGGGGAGGCGAGGTGGGATAAGCTCCGTTCCCCCTTATTTCTGCTGATGTCTATTTTCTGTTTCTTCTAAATTAACCTCTGGGTAGATGGGGGTCATTGTAAAGGGTCTGGCTTTTGTTTGGGGTGGTGAGTTGTGAGGGCATATTACTTCATTAGAAATAGCTAATTAAAAAACGAACAAAATGAATAAATTAGGCCAAGGGCGGATGGGGGTGAGGGTGTTCATGGGGTGGGGGCAGGGGGATTCTAACTGATGCAATTGTGCACACCTGGGATCCTCCAGAAAAAAGACAAGCACCACAGCTGCTATTATTTCTGTAATAATAATTAAAACTCATGGCCATGTATTGGATGGTTTCCACTCTCCCCTACCCCGTGGGGCTGTGAGTTTTGAGGGGTGAGGACTTGTTGATGGATTGGAGCTGGGGGAGAGGGGAGGGGAGTCTCAGCTCCTGGGTGGGTTTTGGGGTCAGGGGTCATCTGAGGCACAGAGTAAGTGTTCAGGGGCCTTTCCCATCCTTTCATGACATGGGCTGACCCAGGTCCCTCACGTGGTATGGGCTCCTCCCACACCCCCTCACTAGGACGGGGCCTGGCACACGATGAATGGCTGGAACTATTGTGGGCAGAATCTGCTGGAACACCTAGTCAGGACCAACCACACACTACAGCCACCCAGGCAGATGCACATGCATGCACATACACCCACACAGAGGGCCACGCTCTGGTATTCACTGCACAGCTATGGTGACTACACCAGCAGGAGGGTGACACAAGGCCACCGCCACATTCATGGTGACTCTGGGGGTCTGGGATAATTGCAGTAAGCGTCGCAGAACCACACACCTGTCACACCACCACACAAGCCCTCAATGTCACACACGTTCCATCCTGAATGGGGCACAAGTAGACACACCCACACAACTTCACTGTAACACACAAACACCCTGTCACAGCCAGACACACCCACGCAGCCCCACCAGGTCACAGCTGGAGTTGCAGTGCATCACAAAGCACCTGTCAAATAAACACCACGTCTCACAGACACAAGATGACACACCCTCGTCTATAGCAGCCAGACCCACATGATAACAGCCACTCACATAGCTAGGGGGTCCCATAGCCACGGGGTCCCACAAACACCATGTCTTATAGCTCAGGGTCCCCCCCCCCCAACATATGCACCACATCACACGCACACAGTGGCCCTCTGGGTCATACAGTTCATCACTAGGGTCCACTCTCACAACCTGGGGGCTTCTGGGTCTACTTGGCCATGGAGGGACCCATCAGGCCCTTGTCAGCCTCCACACCAGGGAGAGGAAGAGATTCCGGCACCTCTGTTCCCATGGCGAACGGGGGGCCAGATGGGCATCCTCCCCAGCCCAGCCTCCCCCAGGGTTCAGGAGCAGATTTGTGGGGCGGAGCCCAGACACCCACAGGCAAACCTAGAGAGGGGGTTTCCATGGTGATTCCCTGCAACCCCCACGGCCTCCCGGGAACCTGGGCTTGCAGGGTCCCAGCTGCAGCTGCTGAGAGGGGAGGTCATGGGGCGAGGGGCATTGTACAAAGGTGGGGGAAGGGCCCACCCCTAATCCCACCCTCCCAGACCCTAGTTAGGCTCCAGATGGCAGATGGGCCCCCACCTCTCCCCCATTTCCATGACAAAGGCAAGGAGAGGGCTGCCCACCAGACCCTGGTCACTCTCTCCTACTGCTGAGGGGGTGGGTACCTCCAGGGCCTGGCTGACTCCTTGAGTTGCCGGAGAATGTGGGGCTGATCATCTCCCCATTGACAAGAGAGGAAACTGAGGTTCAGAGAGGCAGAGCCATTGGCCGCGGGGCCCCAGCCAGAAAGCCTTTGGGGATTGATTTGAACCCCTTAGGGGATGAGCCAGGGGGGAGGATGGGCAGCAGTGGGGGGAATGGATGTACGGGGAGGGTATGGTCGTGGGGGGCTGGGTGGCCATGAAAGGGTCAGTCCAGGTGGGCGGTAATAAAGAGGAAACGGGCACAGCCAAGATGGGAAGTCACAGGGATGGGTGGCAGTGGGGAACGAGGGCGCTGACCTTGATGGTCTTCGTCTGCAGTTTGAGGCCGTTGAGGGTGTTGATGGCTTTGTCTGCATCGTTGGGGTCAGAGTAGTTCACAAACCCGTAGCCGAGGCTCTGCCCTGCAGGCAGGACCAGGACAATGACCTCCCTGGACCTGCCAGTGTCCTCCCAGACCCCGGCCTGAGAGACTGACCACCCCCCTCAAGGTTAGGAGAACCAAGATTCCACCCTTATTTGTTACCCCCAGAGTACTACCATATCCTGAGGACAGCTCAGACCCCCCCAGGGTCCCACCTGCTCCCATCACCTCCCACCTGGGGTCACACCTGTCTCTACACCACACCTGTACTCCTGAGGCTACCACCTCTGTCCCCTATCCCCACCCCCCACCTGCCAGCAGCCACACCTGTGATCTTGTCCCGAACCAACTTGCAGGACTCAATGTCACCAATGCTGCCGAAGAGACTCTTGAACTCATCCTGGGTCATGTTCTGGGGCAGGTAGTTGACGATGAGGTTGGTCTTGCTGTCATCACTGGCTCCGTTTGTACCAAGGAGTGGCCCGTTGGGCAGGGCCGGGCCAGCCGGGCCCCCCGCCACCTGAGACTCCATGGCCCCGAGTATCTGCTGGAGACAACAGGCCGCACCCACTCACGGCCCAGTTCCCACACCAGGGACCAGTGGGAGTGAGGAGGGGCTTGGTGGTGACAGATCAATCAGGTCTGCACAGGCTTGAACATACAGAGGGGATAAGGTATTATTCTTATAGTCCCTTCCACTTCTTGAGCACTGGGCAAAATACTTTACAGGTGGTTTTATTCTGAAAAAGTCCATATATTAATGCCATGTATGCCCATTTGCACGTATGCTTGCCTGTTTATCTACAGCCAGTCTGCATTTTTAGAATAATGAAATTAGTACTTTGTATTCAGAATAAGAATTACAACATTTTTATTAGCTTTGAAGCCCTCATAATCCCAAACCCGACCATGTACTTTGCTCTTCCCACCAAATGTAATTCCTATCCCAAATGTGTTAATATTTCTTTTGCTTCATGCATAATTTACCCCCACAGGTTTTCCACTGAGCCATTTGGGGTTTTTTATGTATATCATAATAACACCTGCAAATATAATGACAGTTTTATTTCTTTATCTCCAATCTATACCTGTTATTTATTTTTCTTGTCTTGTGGCAGGGGCTACATTGTGACATTGGCTTCTTTATTCTTGACATTAAAGGAAATGTTTTAAACATTTCACAGCTAAATATGATCTTTACTATAGGTTTTTTGGCAGATGGCCTTTATCAAGTTAAGAATGTTTAATTTTATTCCTAGTATCTTAACAAGATTTTTTTTAAGGAATGGATATTGAATTTTATTGAATATCTTTTTCTGCATCTATTGAGATGATTTTTTGCTTCAATATTTTTTTAACAGATAAGGAAGAGGGCTTTTTATTTTTATTTTTTAAAATTAATTAATTAATTAATTAATTTATGGCTGCGTTGGGTCTTCGTTGCTGTGTGCGGCTTTCTATAGTTGTGGCGAGCAGGGGCTACTCTTGGTTGCGGTGCGCGGGCTTCTTATTGTGGTGGCTTCTCTTGTTGTGGAGCACAGGCTCTAGGCACGCGGCTTCAGTAGTTGCAGCATGCGGGCTCAGTATTTGTGGCTTGAGGACTCTAGAGCGCAGGCTCAGTAGTTGCGGTGCATGGGCTTAGTTGCTCCGCAGCATGTGGGATCTTCCCGGATCAGGGATCAAACCTGTGTCCCTTGCACTGACAGGCGGATTCTTAACCACTGCACCACTGGAGAAGCCTGCTTTAACATGTTCATGTAATAAATTACATTAATTGATTTTCCAATATTAAGTCAACTTTCCTAAGCTACACTAAACTTGGTTATGTTGCAGTTTTGTTTATATACATTGTTTGATTTGCCAACTTTTTTATGGTTCTTTGTTTAGGATTTTTAACCTCTATATTCAGGAAGATACGCTTTTTTAAAATTTAATTCACACAGAGGCTCAGGTAGAAGTTTATTATGCTATGACAAATAAGGAATTTGAGGCTCCAAGATGTTAAGGAACTTGTTGAAGTCACACAGCATATCAGTGGTGGCACTGGAATGCAAATGCAGACCTGTCTAGACCTGAAGACCACTCTACCATTCTCTATGACAGTCAACCAGGCAGGTACCAGCTCTGATAACTCTTCGCTGTGTGTCCTTGGATATGCTCCTTATCCTCCTGGGGCCTCTGGTTCACTTTGCTGAAAATTCAAAACAATTAGTAATGGCTATCTTAAGGGCCATGTAGAGAAGAATTATAAAGCCATGTCTGGGCTCAGAACGAAAGAGGGCTGGGATTGATTGGTATTGTCTGTCATGGGCATGGGAAGGGAAAGTAGCTAGCATTTCCTTAGGTCTTCTCCTATGTCACAGTTGGTGAATAGGTTGCCCTTACGTAGAAACCCAAATAGATTGGTAGAGTCTTCCTAGACGGATGAATTAAGAAGGATTTAAAGCTATATTCAGTTTCAGCAGTAAAGATGACTGTGATTGATGAGCAATAGCTGTTGTGGCCACAGAATTAGAAAGAGCCAGCAGGTACACATCATCTCAGCCATCCCTGCCCCAAAATTCAATACCATAATTGTTCCCAAATATTGCGCATACTATGTGCCAGGCACAGTGCAAGGCCCTCTGCAGGGAATGTTTCTTTTCTTTTTCACCACTCTGAAAGGAGGAGAGTTTTATTACCCCTGCTTAGGAGATGCTATGGACTGAATGCTTGTGCCCCTCCAAATTCATATCTTGAAACCCTGCTCTCCAGTGCAGTGGTATTTGGAGGTGGGGCCTTTGGAAGGTTATTAGGTCATGAGGGTGGAGCCTTATAAAAAGGGACGGGAGAGAGATGATCTCTCTCTCTCCACCCTATGAAGACAGTGATAACACAGCTGTCTACAAACCAGGAAGCCGGCCCTCACCAGGAGCCGAATCAGCCCACACCTTGATCTTGGACTTCTCAGCCTCCAGAGCTATGAGAAATACGTGTCTGTTGTTTAAGCTACCCAGTTTATGGTATTTTAGTCAGCCTGAGCTGAGTAAGACAACAGATGAGGAAAGTGAGGTTCAGAGATGTTTGAAAAATTACCAAAGATCATGCCGCCCATAAATGGTGAAACAGGGATTTGCGCATGAGCTTTTCTGATTGGGCATCTGTATTTCCAACTTTCACTGCCAACCAAGACTAGTGCTGGCTCTAACACTTCCCAGCTGCGTGTCCTCAGGTATGCTACTTAACAGTCTTTATGCTACGACCTCTGCTCCACTTTGTTGAAAACTCCAAATCACCAGCATAGTGACCAGAGACCCATCTAAAGCCAATTGTGGGTGCAGCTGGAAGGCATTCTGGGATCAGTTAGCTATGTCTGACACAGGCAGTCATGAGAAGTGGAAGTGGGCTTGTCTTGTCCACAAGACAAGCCCTGCCTCATAATGCTGCTATGAATAATCATCCTGGTCCATTGACACCTACCGTGTCAGGTACCAGGGAAATAACTCAGAGACGTTGGGTGATATAAATGGGGAAATTGATTTCAAACCTGGATATGTTGGACTTCAGAGCCGTTTTTAATGACTGGCCAATACACTGGGGGCAGCTCTGCCACCACATAGCTGTATGTCTTCAGCGACAATCTTAGCTCTTCCTTGGGCTTCTGTTTCCTTGTCATTTATTCTTATTTAAAGGATAGTACAGAGGGTCAACTCCCCTGCAGCTCCATTTGGCTGGGAGTGGCTGTCTGGGGGAGCTGCCTGGAGGATTCTTCTTCTTCTTCTTTTTTTCTTCCATTTTTGGCCACGCCATGTGGCTTATGGGATCTTAGTTCCCAGACCAGGGATTGAACGCAGGCCCTTAGCACTGAGAGTGCAGAATCCTAACCTCTGGACCTTCGGGCGGGGGTGGGGTGGGGGGAATTCCCTGGAGGATTATTCTGAAGCCGCATCCAGGCTCACCAGGAACACAAACTGGGTTGATTAGCAATGTCTGCCACAGGCGCCTGAAATATAGCAGTAATGTACCTTCCACACATCTGCATCCTGGTCTTGTAACATTAATACTTTACGAACAACATAGCCATGTATTGAGGGCCTACTATGGGCCAGCCAAAATTCTTTATGTGAAAATTTCCAGGCAATTCTCCCCAAATTGAATGTTATGGGACTCTATTCTTATTTAACAGATGAGAAAACTGAGTCTCATTGAAGGAGGAGGGATTTGCACAAGTTTGGGTAGCATGTAAAAAGTGGACCAAGAATTCCAATTCAGGGTTTAGACTCTAGAGCCCACTCTCAATGAAAAGGCCGATTTAAAAAAAAAAAAAAACACAAAGCAAAGCAAAGCTGAGCACCCACTCTTTGCCAAGCCCCAGGCAACACTACATTTAAACCCACTTTGGGGGCTTCCCTGGTGGCGCGGTGGTTAAGAATCCGCCTGCCAATGCAGGGGACATGGGTTCGAGCCCTGGTCCAGGAAGATCCCTCATGCCGCGGAGCAACGAAGCTCGTGCGCCACACTACTGAAGCCCGTGCACCTAGAGCCCGTGCTCTGCAACAAGAGAAGCCACCGCAATGAGAAGCCCGCGCACCGCAACGAAGAGCAGCCCCTGCTCGCTGCAGCTAGAGAAAGCCCGCGCACAGCAATGGAGACCCAGCGCAGTCAAAAATAAATAAATAAATAAATTTTAAAATAAACAAACCAAAAAGAATAAACAAACAAACAAAAATAAACCCACTTTGTTGGCCGAGTCTGCTCATTCAACTCAACAAATATTTACTAGGTGCCACCATATGCCAGCTGCTGGCTCCACCCTCCTGTATATCCTCCGACGCTCATGTTGCCTCTCTAGGTCTCTGTCCCACTACTAAAGATATGGCACAGAGGTCCCCCGTGTATGGGGAGATGGAGTCTGAATTCCCGTCTGGGCTCAGCGAGCTAGAATTCTGTGATTTGTTGATAATGTCTATTATGGGAGCCCCCAAAGCAATCAGCAGTACATAAACCACTGTTTCAGGACACATCAGATCCCAGCTTTGGAAGCCCTACTATGTGCCAGGCCCTGAGCCTGTGCTGTTTTCATTGCCTTTCCACAACCACCCTGAAAGCTGGAGATCATCTCCATTTCTCAGATGGAGAAATTGAGGGTAAATGGGACCTGTGACTTGCCCAGGATGACAGAGGGAAGTAGTAGCGATGGTGTTAGGGTTTGACCCCTTAATCTGATGACCCTAGAGCCTACATACAGGGTTACTGGTCCTCCACCCCTGGAAATGCTGTCCTCAACTTGGGTGGGGTTAAGAGGTGACTGGGGGGTCCCACTCAGGATCTTGAGGCCCAGCCCACTAATCTCACCACCACCCCATCTCCCTCCCATCTGTGCCAGAGCTTAGAGGGATCAGTGTCGCATTTCCTCCGAGGCTGAGCCGGCTGAGCTGCTAATGGGGATCGGATTGGTGGAGGCCACACCCGCCCTGCCTCAGCCCACAGTAAATGCGTGGCCTGGGATGACACAGGGATCACAGGGACCTTCGAGGGCTGTCCCAGAACAGGGGTAGAGAG